GCAGCTGCACAGTGCCAGACATGGGAAACAGGTGCATAGCAGGCGGCCAAGGCTTGTGGCCCGTCCAAGGAGACTCGCAGCGCCGACGTCGCAGTCCCACTGTGGCGCGACGTGGCACCGGCAGCGTGGCGTAAGCGCACCCTAGCGCACGTGGCACCGACGCCAAAGACACACACCCACTTGAGGTGCTCTTCTCCTGGCTTGGCCTCTGAATTAGTCCTCCGGGGTGGGGCGGGGGAAGGGCAGAGCAGGCCAAGCCCCAGAGCGCGTCCCCCTCCCGCGCCCGCGCCCGTGCCCAGCCGCCCCCTGCCGCCTGCCGAACACAGCCTGACGGGCACCCACAGCTGCTGACCCTTGCTCGCCTGTGCCCCAAGGGCAGGCGCATCTCACAGTGGTGGGGCACAGGGCTGGGTGCGAGCCAGGGGAGCGCAGGGGGGAGCCAAAGGCGTGCGGACTCCTGGCCACCAAAGCTCGGACCCCTCGTGCCCCAGGGCCCCACCTGTCGGGGCGGAGGGCAGTGGGGAGAGAAGAGCAGGTGACATCAAGCGACATCAAGGTCGGCGTCGGTCCCCGAGCGGCCGCGGCCGCGAGGACGGCCCGGCAGCATGAGCTGCTTGCGCCAATGGCCCGGCCGCCTCCTCCGGGGCGACGCGGAGGGTCCGCGCTCTGCCGCCAGCGCGGCCCCGCCCCGCGTCCGCGCTGCAGAGAGCCCAGGCCAGAGGGCGCCCGCGCACTGGCCCACGTGCTGCGCCGACAGACAGGGAGCCAGAGGCAGCGCAAGCCAGCAAGGGAGCCAGGGCCTTCTGCCACCACCGCGCAGCCCCTGGCCCCCAGCTGGGACCCGGACCCGGAAGGACCTCGCCCCAGGAGAAGGTGCCCGAGGCCCAGAGGGTGGGGGAGGCGTGGTCCGTCCGGGGAGACCCCGTGGCCCTGGGACCGCCCTGCGGCAGGGCTCCGGGCGGGGGTGCGGGGCCGGGGTTGCGGCCCGCGAGGGCGAGAGGGGGGCGAGGCGGGGACCGCGGCGGGGGTCGGGGTCGGGGTCGGGGTCGGGCCTGGCTGGAGAGGCGCCTACAGGCGGGAGGGTCGCAGCGGGGTGGGTCTTAAACCGCGCTGTCGCCCCTTTCGCCTTCACAGGCGGCGGAGATCCTGGCCGTTCTCCCCCAGCCCTCGGCTCCTGCCCCAGTTCTCCCCCACCCCCAGCCGCGGTGCCACCCTGGTCTGCGCTTGGCGCCCTTCGCTGCTCCCGGTATCAGCCTGGGCCGGCTGCAATGCAGGCGATGGTGATGGCGATGCTGCAGGACTGGTGCAGGTGGCTGGGCGTCCGCGCTCGCCAGAGGCCTGCTCATCCAGGGCTTCCCGGAGGACTGTGAGGAGGCCGAGCTCCTTCAAGCTGATTGGAGAAAGCATAGCGGTGCCAATATCAGCTTTATCCTGTAGAATGAGTGTTGCCCTGAATCAGCTATGTGACCCTGCCTGCCCATTAAATGGTGTGCTCTGATGTCGTAAATAGGAGTGTCAATTGTTAGATCAACAACAGGATCACTGTGCACTTGCTCCCCATGTATGACCTTTGTGCTTAATGTGTTGCACTATGAGAATTAACGGTAAAAGTAGTATTCAAACGGTACTCTATACTTTGTGTGCCTGTGTGGGTGCAAACTGCTGAAATCTTAGTATAGAGTTGATCTGTATATAATCAAAAATGATCTTAATGAAGAATGAGATGGGAGAGGGAGTAGGAGTAGGGATGGTTTGGGGGTGGGATGGCAGATATGGGGGGGAAGAACCGCTGTAATCCAAAAGCTGTACTTATGAAATTTGTATTTGTTAAATAAAAGTTTTCTATAAAAAAAAGAAATGTAGCAGTACCATTTATACCACTACATGCTTATTTCCATTTGTCATTCTTTATATTTTTCCTTTTGAAAATCTGAAACATTATGTATCATTTACTTAATATTTATTATTTATTTTTCAGTACAACAAGAAGGCAAATATTTAAACATGCATAAACACAAACACTACATGCAAATAAATATTAGACATTTTGTAAACACTTCAAAAAAGGAGTAGTGACAGGCGCCAGCACTGTGGTGTAGTAGGATATTCCTCAGCCGGCAGTACCACATCACATATGGGTACAAGTTCTTGTCCTGGCTGCTCCACTTCTAATCCAGCTCTCCGCTGTGGGCTGGGAAAGCAATGGAGGATGGCACAGGTAGTTGGGCTCCAATCTCTCTGCTAGATGAGAGGGCTTCTCTGTCCCATTCTAGGGACCCCCAGAGCAGTCACCGGCTCTTCATTTGGATTTTCTTTTGCCGCCCCCCGCCCACCGTCTGTCTCTCTTCCATCATTCGCTATAAGGCTGACTTTCAAATAAATAACTCTTCAAAAAGCAAATAAAATGGAAAGTCCACAGAAAGGCACCCCTCTCCTAACAAAACGTGGTATTTTTGAATGATTTTTAAGACAATTTCATCAGCACAAAGAATTCATGGCCACCCCATGAACTGGTCTGCCTGTGATTCTATGCTCCTACCTTTTCCTTCCCTTTCCTGATTGGTTACTTACTTTCACCTCCTCACTATGGGCCAGACCCCAAGTCAGGACCCCAGGCCTAAGCTCTTGCAGGCTTTGTTGGAAACTCGTGGCCAAACATTAAAACGGGAGTTAACTGGAAGATTTTGGGAAACTGCTGCGGGCGTGTGCCCGTGGCTGAGGCAGTAGCCATGATCCGTGCATCTGGGAGAAGGTTTTACAAGCTGCCCAACGGCAGGCGGTGAATGCCAACACAACTGCCCCATACACTGAGCAACTGCTGGAGACCATAGCCGTTGGCCTTAACCCCAATGTGACTGTGAACTCTGGGTGGCAATGATGTTTCCATTTTAAGTACAGGGACTGGGACAAATGTTCCATTCTAGGGTGGAAAGTCGATAGTGCAGAATTCTGTGCTTGCTAGTGGGGACAAGGGTTATACGGTGAATCTATGCACCTTCTGATCTTTCTGGTGTGAACCTAAAATTGTACTACAAAAAGTAAGTCATAGGGGGCTGGTGCGGTGGTGCAGTGAGTTCAGCTGCTTGCGTACAGTGCCAACGTCCCATATGGATGCCGGTCTGAGTCCCACTTCTGATCCAGCTCCCTGCTCACCTGCCTGGGAAAACAGCAGATGGCCCACGTGCTCAGGCCCCTGCAGCACCAGGTCGCATGGGAGACTCAGATGGGACACCTGGCTCCAGCCTGGCCCTGCCCCAGCCATTGCAGCCATTTGCGGAGTGAACCAGTGGATGGAAGAACTGTCTGTCCCTCCCCCTCTCTCTGTAACACTTTCAGATAAATAAGCTTAAAAGAAAAAAGTCATATACACACAGACGTACCCTCACCTAACAGTTTCTTTAATGGCAAAAAAAAAAAAAAATCCTTCCCTTCAGAAAACGAGGGAGCTACTCAATTGGGCAGCTGACTCATTCCAGGAAGGACAGCTGACTCATTCCAGGAAGGAAGGGGACGAGCAAAACATTAACCATCACGTCACTAAGTCCATGCTATCCTAACTCCCGTCTTTTCATTCTCTGTTATAAAGTCACTTAGATAGCTAAGAGTGAAAACCAGAACTCTCAGCAACGACACTTAGAGAACTTACTCTACCCTTGCAGTACGGTCAGAATTCTTTCAAGTGAGGATCTTAATAATCAGATGTAGTTCTTAGACTTTTGTACTGAAATGTGCATCCACCTGGGGAATGAACCAGCGGATTGAAGCTCTCTCTCTCCCTCTCTCTCCCTTCTCTCTCTGTCTGTCTGTCTGTCTGTCTTTCCATCATTCGCTATAAGGCTGACTTTCAAATAAATACATCTTCAAAAGTAAATAAAATGGAAAGTCCACAGAAAGTCACCCCTCTCCTAACAAACGCGGTATTTTTTGAATGATTTTTAAGACAATTTCATCAGCACAAAGAATTCATTTCACTGACTTTTCCCAAATACACTTTAAATAATTGCATATTTATTGCATGAAATGTATCCACAGAACAATTTGAGGTGTCATTAAATGTAAAATGTATACATTACAAGAGGAAACCTATCAGAATTAATCATTCTTCAGAGGAATGTGCATCTAAAATTCCACATTCTCACTGATTAAAGCTGAAAAGCAAAGCACTCTAGTTATTTTATGTCTGAAGACAAGTGAGATCATCAGACCATTACATAACAACGTATTCTAATTACAAAGGGAAACCTATCAGAATTAATCATTTCTCAGAGGAATGTGCATTTGAATTCCGCATTCTCACCTAATATCAAAGTGGAAAAGCAAAGCACTCTGGTTACTTTTGTCTGAAGACAAGCATTGAGAAACTTAAATCATTACATAACAACTTATTCTAATTAAATTATCATAAAGTAATAATTATCGTCATCACGAACAAATCAATTTTGTTTGTTAAGTTGTTAACCAAATACTGGCAATCAACACTAAGGCCAGGTGTTATTTACTGGTGGACCAGAACTTCCTTGAATGACACCTTGATGTCTGTGTGGAAAATGACAAAATCAGAAATCCACAGCTTAGCACAGATATCTCGCCAGGTATCTTAATTATGTGTCCCAGCTTAGCTTTTTTCAAACACCCAGAGGTGAGTTGCTTTTAACTATGCTTGTAAGGCCTTAGAGTAGGGTCTTTTTGGAAACAGCATTTGCTTATGAATTGGCTCCATACCATAGGGAGGAAATACAAGACAGTGCACAGGTTACAGTTTGTCTTCTTTACTCCTTCAAGGAAGGACGATGTACCCTCTAGAGGGAGCTCTGCCTTCTGAGACCGACACAGATCCGCTGAGGCCAAACCGAAAACCCTGTCATCCCTACTGCTACACGTACATTGACCGGAGGAGGGAGGAAACTTCACCATCACTACCAAAGAGCCAGAGTGTTATACACGTAACCCTCCACTGCTGCTGATCACATTACTGTTTAGGGTTCAGGGGGGCAAGAGAAACATGGTCTTGCATTTCACAACGAACTAGTGACAAAGAAGATGTGCTTATATCTGCGAGAACTTGAATTAGTGTAGCTAACGTTGGACTTTCAGACAGAACTTGAGTGGAAGTTCCTTCTTCAGATTCATAGAAGCAGCATGGCTTGCAGAGATTGTTGAATACTCGCCAACTCTTGCTGTTGCTCCTTCAAAACAAGGAAATGCCGATAATCATTACACACATTTCTGCAAGTGAAATATCCCTCGGCTCGCATCAATCAATCCTTAGATTTCAGTATTAAACACAGACTGCTTACAGTTGCAGCAATAATTTTGTTCTTCAAGATGCCAATTTCGTTTTTGAGCTTCTTTTGCTCATCAGTAAGCAGGCTTTGCTGGCTCAGCTCCAAGTCGTTGATACCCTAAAACAGAAACTCGGGTTCAGTCAGAAACCACCACACGTGGCTCATGTTCTAAAAGGGCAAACTGAAATTTCAGGAGTAACACTCAAATATTCAAATGAGCTCACTTTTATTTCAAATAAAGAATTGTGATGAATATAGGCAACAAAAGCACCCGCTTGGAAATTTCTCAGAAGTCAGATTTGAGGGCGATGCTGCCACAGGAGGTACAAGAGTTGTACAATGAGTTGGGGAAAATGGGCAGCTGAAGAGTTAAGGGGAAGATGGAGCAGAGACAGAGAAAGACTGGCAGTCCCATGTCAGGTTATGCCATAATTTTTCACAGCTAATGACCCACCCACTACCACTAGTGCTCCACATAACATGAGTTGCTCAGAGGAAACTATAAACGGTTTGTTAAATGTCAGCTTCGCGTTCAGGAAAATGTATCGTAGAGTATGTTCTGAATCTTTCTTCATTCAACAAACAGTGAAGCAGCACATACTAAGAAAATGTACCATGTCGAGTGCTATGGTGTGATACGATCAATGAATACACCGTCTCCTCCATATCCCCGTGACAGGAGCAAGCATCCACGCCGAAACAGCACGATTATCGAAAGGAGGGGAAGGGCAACATGCTGCGGCCACACAGCTGAAGACCGCCAGTGATTCAGTTGGCCAAAGAGCAAGGTTTCAATAGGCAAGGAAAAAGGAGGTACACGTCCTCTCCGGAAAGAACCTAGGCAAAGCCTGGAAGCAATGCTGACTTCCTTCAGGGAAAGCCATCAACCTACAGGGGTGAGAGTCAAGAAGGAATGCAGCAAAGGAAGCTCTCAGAGGGTGGGTCAGCTTGTTCAGGGGTGGGGGCGTCCTTGAACCACCACTCGTTTACAAGGGGGAAGCTACAGGGAGGGCTGAATGAGAGAGTGGGCCTGTGTCTTTGGAAGGTGGTACTGTAAGACCTCTGAAGGGAGGATGGCAGATTCAGACTCAGGTGAGGATACAAGCAAGGGAGATTAAAGAAAGCAATGAAAGTGCCACCACCGAGGTGGGTAAAAACTGCAGGGGACACCGGCCGGGAAGGATGCGGATTTGGAAGACGCCAAAACCTAGTGCCAAACTTTCTACCCTAACTTTGGTAATACCCAGCGCTGACATTTAGAAGGTATCTTTCTATGCGAGTCTTCACCCCGATTCCCAGATGGACAGCTGGGGAACATGGGAGTTCCATGTCTCTCCACTTGCTAGCTCCTCTTAAATGACCACTTTGTAGACAGAGAATTCTAAGGCCGGTCAAAGATTTATAGTTCAAAGCTCCCTTGAGCAGTTTGCAAAAAAAACCATCTCAACCTGTCTAGATGAGCGACGTTTTAATAAGCAGCATCACAAGACTCTTAAAAAGGACATCCTGGAAACAAGACTGCATTGGTTCCTGAACCATGCATACCTGCGGGAAACAAAGGTCAGTGTCTGGGCCATCTCTTACCATTATTATGAAGAAAGAACTAAAAGTGACTGTGCCATAAGTATGACAAGATGAACCTCACAGGACATGGTACAAAATAATGGGTACTCAATGCTTACACTTGCTACTTGCTCGATAACAACCAAAACAAAGTCTGTAGAATATCCAGAAAAAAGACATCTGGAAAGGACTGACTTCCATCCTACTTTCCACTGCGTTTACTGCTGATCATCTAAAATCAGTTGTTCTGCATGAAAGCATGAGAATGAACATGTTAACAAGCAATCAATACTCTATGAGCACAAGATGCATCTTCCTTGGCAAATTTACAATTTAACTATTCCTGATTTAAATACAGCCCTCCAATCCTACCTGCTTCCCTACTCTCCCCCCCTCCCCGCCGAAATAAAGACCAGTATGGAATTCTAAATGGAAAGTACATTCACTGGCTGCCTTAAAGATGGAAGAATCAATTGAAAGATGCAAAAAGAATAAGAGTCACAAATATATATAATGAAAAGCTATTTTTCCGTAAGTGTGGAAAGAACCACACTGTCTTCTACCACTACATGCACATGGTATTTCTCAAGAATGCATTGTATTACCAAACACAAACTGACCTTTACGAATTCCTCATACAGGTTCTTAACTGTAGTCAGCGTCTCCATTTGAACATTTTTAGCTTGCAGGAAAAGCCTTCGGTGGTCGTGAAGCATCCTCTACAATATTTTAAGAAGGGATAAAAGTCAGATAAATCTTGACATGTAGAAAACATATACCAACCGACGCTAAGTTTTAAAGACCTGTCTTTAAATCAATACTTGCTAACGAGTTCTGCTTTAACAGCTTTTGTGAACAAATTTAATTGCGTGTGTTCAACATTTCTACACCAAGAACACACACTAATTCTTTCTTTCAGTCATGAGTGGGAAGCAATTTCCTTTTAACATACGCCTTAGTTCTTGATTTCAAAGTCCACAGAGACTCTTCTCAATAATCAGTCTGCCATGCACTGGTAAAATCCGTACAGTAATCCTACCTACCTAACAGATATCACGTGAGAAACAGTGTTTCTTACCAATATGGAAAGCGTGTATACACTCCTGTTCATTCTGACATGCACATAATGCTGGCCGTCCTGTTCCCTGACCTGCACTCCAGCAGTGCTTTTGTCCTCTCCCCCACCTGCTGCACACTTGTGCAGTCGGCCCCTAGATTTTGTTATTCCTGGTAAGCTTACTGCGTACACAATATAAATAATAGTGGAATTAGGTTAGAACTCTACACGTCAGGTGCCTTTCTGAGCCATCCAATGACATCATCCCCTAAATCCCTCATTTAATCTCAATGCGTGTCTGAGAGTTAAGTCCTCACCTTAGGCCTCCATTCACCAAAGAAGGAAATCGAGGCAGAGAAACACTTTTCTCGTGGCTTCACAGGTAGCCACTGGTCGGACCAGAGTTGGAGCCACCAGACACCCTGGAACCACTGTACCTTAGTGTTTCTCCATTTTTCCCAACATGTAGCCACGATCGCCCAAACTTTGTGAGTCACTCACGTTGTACCACAGCTGGGAAATCTCTTGGGCCTCACATCATCAAAAGGAACAACTTCTGCTGTCCAGTAGCCCATCCCTGTGGCACCGATTTCCTCAACCCCACCTTAAATTCCACAGTCTGTCACTGTATCTCTGGCCCTGAAGACAGACCTCGCCCCTTTTCTCCCTCTGTCATTGTGCTTGGCTATACCCCAGTCTTGGAAAGCCCACCTCCCTACCTGCTGTGCTACAGTGACCACAGCTGGTATCGCTTGAAATTCACGATCACCATGACACTAACCTAACTTGGACTTGCAATGCTTCTCGGTAACTGTATTCCACTAGTCCATGCAGCAGCCCGCATCCAGGAAGTATTCCTTGCCTTCTCCCCCTACCCCAAAAGGCAGTGACTGCTCCCCCCACCCACGCTCACGCCTGACTGATGACCTAACAAGCTCACCACAGCCCAAAGGGTCGTGCAGTCTCCCATCATCGCCCCTTCCACCCTCCTTTGTCCATCTGGGCTCATGAGCTCTCATTTCTCTCTGCAATTTCTGCATGAACTGTTGCTACTGGAGACTTTGGCTACAACCGAGTAATCAGTTAAGAGGCCTAGCCTGATACCAACAGTTAGTCTTTCCTGCTGTTTCGCGGTTTTTCCGCACACCCGTGTCCCACTCTTCAAAGAAAGTCAGGAACTGCCGAGAATAGCTGTAGCGGATATTTTGCCTGTAAAACATAGTGATGAGCACAGTCGGATTTCACAATGACATGGAAAATTCAACATACGCAAACAAAACCTATTTGACACGCTTTTTTAGTGCAAAGGGAGAAGGGGACAAATAGTAGCTGAAAACTTCTCACGGGAACACAAAAGGAGAAAAGTTTTGTTCTCATTGCCGAGGTGCTTGTTCCTAACTGACTGGTACAGAAGCTGTCTCACACACTTTACCTCTTGAAGCAAGAGGAGGATTGGGTGCACCGTACATTTTCCAGAATATTAATTTTATCTAAAAGTGTTTACATTCCACCTCCTCCTTCTATCATATGACGTGGAGAATCTCATATGGTATGTAGAATTCAATGAGGATATCACACGCACTCACCCTGGACAATTTCCAAACTAACTGCTTCTTCCTACTTGCACACCAGCAATATTTAAGCAACAAAAACAAAATTAACAAAATGTAGTCAAAATACACAAAACATTTACAATATGATTAGCTGTTTTTACATAACTGAATTATCACTGAGTCTCAAGTGACTAATGCTTTAACACATTTACATTTCAGTCAGTTATCGCATTTCCAGAAGTGTATATAACCTGACTGTATGGGAAGAAAATGTCGTCCTTACCTGAAAGGACAAAAACAAATCATATTCGTTGGCTTCTAAGTCGTGTGTGCGTGCACGTGTGTGTTTCTGATGCGTGTGCATGTGTGTGATGTACACAGAAGTTAGGAAACTTATCTACCTAAAGTAAAACTGAGGGGAAATAGCCTTTTCCCGGGAGTCACCAATGAATAGAAGATTGTGTAAAGTTCCCTGCACCAATAAACGCTTCAGAAACGATAGAGGGGCCGGCGCTGTGGCGTGGTGGATAAGCCGCCACTTGCAGTAGTACTGGCGGCCCATATGGGTGCCGGTTCGAGTCCCGCTGCTCTGCTTCCAATCCAGCTCTCTGCTATGGCCTGGGCTGGGAAAGCAGTGGAAGACAGCCCGAGTCATTGGGCCCCTGCACCCGCGTGGGAGACCCCAAAGAAGCTCCTGGCTCGTGGTTTTGGATGGGCACAGCTCCAGCCGTCGTGGCCATCTGGCGAGTGAACCAGCGGATGGAAGGCCCCTCTCTTCTTTGCCTCCCCTTCTCTCCCTGCGTAACTCTGACTTTCAAACAAATAAATGAATCTTAAAAGAGAGAGAAATGACAGAAATGTTACGATTCAAAGGAGTCTAGCGCATTACCATTGCTCTTTTTGCACTTTCAAGATCTGCTCAAATTTCTCCTTGGTAGCGTTGGGAGAATTATCTGCATTCACTGTGCGCCTTCTTCTCTTTGCCGGAAGGGCCAACTGAACGTCAGCTACATGGAAGATAAATACTCACTGAAACTTAATGTGGAAAAGTACTCTGTACCCATATATCCAATCAACATGGGAGACGTTGGCTCAGCAGTATTGGAAAGACACTACAATCCTAATACGGACACCCGTTCCGAAAGCAAGATTTACTCATCTTCTGTGAACACGTACGGGGCAATGCTAGTATTCCAACTCTAGTTGTTTACGGATGGATCAACTTTTAATTTAGGGACGAGAAAGAAGGACTAATCACGAAAATAGTTCCCGCTTGTGAAAATACGTACAAAGAGTCTCAAAACACGACTTCAAGTTCATGAGAACTTGGTTAAAAAGATCAAATTGTTTACACTTATGAGGTACCCTCAAGTTCAAAGGACACCATTATGCAGAATATAGTTAGCGCTAAATGGATAACACACACCAAGCATTTTATGCTTAGCAGCTCCATCAAAATGATAGAAAAATAGTTCAACACACAGTAAGATTGCTTTGAAACCACCAGGTAAATGATTCTTTTAGCTGAAGTTGACCGAGAGAGGCAATGCCTGTGGGCATGCAAGTTCCACGTTCAGCAAATAAATAGGTTCAAGGGTAGAGACTGTCCCCGAGCTTTGAAGAACACATTGTATCCACTATTACTGTGTTTCTAAAAATTCTCAAACTACACGTAATGCTTCAGTAAGCATCGGATTTTCCCTCGGGAATCTACTGAGTTATTTTCGTTACTCACAAAGGGATCTGCAGGGCCATAAAAATATTCTAAACTTACTCTACCCATCCATACCATCCATCTCTTGAGCGACTCCTAGAAGAACAGCTTTGTCCACACCAAAAGAAACGAGCGCTCAAAGCCACTTGCACAGGTGAGTTATCTCTACACAGGTGTCCAAATTGGTTGGGATTCTTTGCTAAGGGTCCTCTCGCTAAAGGCTCTTGGCGAAGAGCCAGCAATTTACACGTTTTTACCAGTGTGGTCCTCTCAGACAGCTAGCGTAACAGACATTTCACACGGCACTACAAAATTATGACTGTTGGATCCAACTGCACCTCCTCAATAGCTAGAAAAATTATCTGAAATCTCTAATACTCAGTTGTTGACAGTAAAACTGTGTTCCAGAGACGCAATTTGTAGGCTACTCCAAAGAAAACATCAGATATCTGTAAAAAACATTAACTATATTAGTAGCATGAAGAACTGGCATGAGAAATTAACATAGCGCATACTGTATATGTGCTAAAAGGGGATCACTCCCCCCACCCCCCACTGTCTTTGAATGCTGACATTTCTACCTGGACAAAGCAACAGGTCACTCTTACTCTTATCATCAGAAGACCGTCAGCAGCGTTCTTGCTTTCCGCATCAACAATCTAAAAAGCTAAGTAAGGAAACCTGTGAAGCTGATCAGCTCCGACAACTGACACAGAATCCTACATACGAGGAACCAGTCCTGTAGTCCAGCGTGCAATGCTGTCTACTATATGCTTTTTATGGTTTAGGTTGGTGTGTTTGCAAGGGCAAATAGCTGAGAAAGCATACCTGTACGTCCCTCGTGACACCTTCTGGGCGGCATCCCTGTGGAAAAGCCACATCAGGATTTTAAAACAAAGCTAGATAAAATGGCAGGTGATTTGGAAGACCTCTCATGCCACGTGTTTCCTACGGATAGTTATTAGTGGGGCCAAAGGTCCTGTTCTCAATGTAGCTTAGGTGGCGGGCAAAACACACTTTAAACACATTACCCCACTTCCACTTCCAGCGTCAGCTGCTCCAGCAGAACGAGCTGTTCCCGTGGGGATCAATTCCTGGATGCCGGCTGCGTTGAAGAGGAGAAACACACTTGGTTACAGGGTGTAGCCAACGCGGAACATTTCTCAGGGAGAACCGTCACTCTCAGGGTGGGGTGTGATTCTCAGCCTCTTGCCAGCAACCCTCTGAAGGCAGACCTGCCAGGGGCATTCACTCAGTGCAGGACGCTGGAATCGGGCCAGGGCCCAAGACAGGTTACGTTTGCCTTTGTCCCAGGCATCGGGGTCTGGCGCTCAGAAAGCTCTGCGCTGCACGTCAGACACGTGGGAGTAAGGACGCGCAGGGCCAGGACAGCGGCCGTGGGAAGCCACTGGCACCCTGCCATGTGGTGGAATCCTCAAGAGGGAACTGCCAATCTGCAAAGCCATTTGTCAGACTCCGTGCTTGGCGCGTCTGCCACGCGGTGGAGGCCAAAAGGGCAAGACCCGGGGACCGGGCCGCCCAGTGTGCCACGTGCCAGAGATGAGCCCCGCCCTCCCCTGGGAAGGGCACATCCATAATAGGAAGCTGGGCCCCGGCCCGCCCACACCTTTACCTTGTGCCGCAAGTTCCAGGCTTCCAGATGGGAGGGTTTGCTTCGGGTCGCCTGAAGCTTCCCGGAAGCGCTTCCGGCTCTCGGGCGCCATGGCCGGCTGCATGCTTCCACGTTCGAGTGAAGGCTCCCGTCTAAAAGGCATGGGGGCAGGGGACAGGAGTTGGGGGCCGTGCCACGGATGGCCGCGTCATGGAGGCCAACGGCACCACCGCCTGGCGAACCTCCAGCCTCCTGCTGCGGGCGGAGGGAGCACAGGCAGGGTTGGGCATGACTGGCAGGGGACCGCCACTCCACGCTTCACACCTACCCGCAGTCCCTGTGCCGCCCTCTTCCCATGGAAAGATCCCGGCTCCATCACTGGGGCCTGCTGGACGCGCCAATAGGCAGCCCCCACCCCCAGGAGCCTTCTGGTGACCCGAATGGCAGGCCCTGACCGTTGGCAGAGCAGTAGGGACACGCACAGACTCCCTGCCTCACCCCGGGTCCACAGACCCACAGCTCCCCCCCCCGCCCAACGCCTCCGACACCACCCCCAAGGACCTCAGGAGTGGTCCAACCCGTGCCTGGAAGCCGCCTGGCGCAAGCCTGGGCCCCAGCCACAACCCCAACCCAACACCCAACCCCAACCCCGAACTCGGCCTTTCAAGTCACTGCTCGCCCTCCCTCAGGGTCTCCTCAGGCCCCGACAAAACACAACGCCAACGGGAGGGATGTACCCCCAGACATCTGCCGGTCCGGCCCCACCCGGGAAGCCAATCCAGGTCCCCAAATGGCCGCAGAGCACCGCCACCCCAGTCACTTGCTGCTGCCGCCTCCCCAGGTGTCTCACAGGCACTGAAGAACAGCAAGATCACGGCGACCCCCTCCGCAATGAGTTCCTCTCACACAGGGTTGGCTCTGGGCGGGCTGCGTGCTGATTGGTCAGCACAACGCCTGCGCAAGGCCGTCCCTGCGGAGCCACGCCCCTTCTGCCTCGCGGAAACCCCCTCTGCACGAGGGGGTGACGCTTGGCGTTCTGACGCTGCCGTCGTTTTCCGGCACTTCCTGTTCCTGGACGATGGCGCGGCAATGCCGGCCTCGTGGCCTGCCGCGGACACCGTGCCTAACCCAGCGCCACGGACAGCGGCCCATTCCTGTTCCTACTCCATCCTTTTGAGGTGGGCAACGATTATATTCATCTCTGAACGGGGTTCCTGGGGGTCATGTCTCCCTGCCAAGCTAAAAATACTTAGGGGAGACTAGAGACGTGCGCAAATACTAACCAGAGAGTGGTAACGTGCGCAGATAACGAATGGCGTATTTATTTAGCGGTCGAGGAATAAATACCATCGTCTTGTGATTGTGCATCACCCCTCACAGAAAACCCGTCATGAGCGGGCCAAAGTATTGCCCTAGAACGGGAGAAAGTGTACTTTGTTGGGTGGCCTGGTGTGAAAGGCGAAGAAAACAAGAGCGGCCACCTGATGCGTGTTCAGCTGTAGAAAGCGAGCTCCCTCCTACCGCCAGCCCTTCCCATACCCCCCTACCGCCTCTCATCTGTCCTCAGTCCCTCCGCCGGCACTTCCCAACCTCGCATCTTTCCTCCGGCCCTCCATTCTGCCCCCCCCACCCCCATTCTTCCCATCAGCACTTTCCACCCTCCGCCTGCCCACGTCTTTCCTCCTGCCAGTCCGTCTGGCCCGTCCCTCCATCTTCCTCTCCCACCAGCCTTTCCACCCGCCCTCCCCGCAGGACCTGCCTGCACCCCAGGACTCCCCTCACCCGCCACCCTTCTCCCTTCCTACCTGCCTCCCCCGCACCTCCCCTTGCCTGCTCCTGCACCTAGGACTTCCTCCCGTTGGCCCACTCCCTGCTTGCTCCACCTTGCTCCCCCACCTCCTAACCATGTCTGCGGCAACTAAGGGGGGAAACAAGAGCCACACCTCTGAGCATAGTTGCTCAGCCACGGGCTTTCCTCCATCCAGCCCCAGCCACCCCCTCCAGCACCCGCCTGCCCCCTTCCCCTTTTCAACCACGGCTTACCCGCTCTCCCACGACTACCCCCGCACCCACCTCCCACTGCCTCCCCATGCCTCCCTCACCAGCCCCCTCCTTGTTCCGCCCCCCTTTGGCCTCTCTCCTCTCCTTCTGCCTCCTGCCCCCCCCACCGCCCCCCATGCTGCCTCCTCCCCCTCTGCCACTTGTTTCTGAGGTGCAGTGTGGTACCCCCATCAGGTACACAGATGAGGTGGAGTCTTAGCGTGCACCCCGGTGGAGGATGCCACAGGTGCGCCCTGGGAGGGTGAGCGTATCAAGCTGCCAGTTCAAGAGACAGACACTGCTTTGCAAGGGTACAAGAGTTACAGCTCGCCTAAACGTCGAATAACTGCCTAGTTACATCATGCCATCTCCTCCCTCCCCTTGGAGAATTCTGTCCCTTGATCTTGAGGGGATGCTGAAGAATGATGATCCATCTTCTAGAGTTACTTTGTACTGGTCGGGGTCATGGAACCTTTCGTATCCTGGGAGTGGAAATCTTGCCTGTCTATCTAGTGCGTCTATGTGAAGAGGCAGAAGATCTCTGTCTGCTTGTGCCAGTGGTGTGGCCCCTGCATGGTCATCATTACTTTGGTCACTCAGCACGAGCATAATTGGAAAGACAGACCATAGGTGGGATCCTCTTAAGAAAGGGAGCATTTATTGTTTCCCAAATAGTGGGGACTAATAGGCTTCCTTACCA